CCCCTGCTAAACGTTCTTTCTTTTATGTAAATAATAAATATGATTACACAACTACGTTAGGTGATGGCAGATTGTACATATACATCATCTACCTAATTAATTTTAATTCTAAGAAACTAAAAAAATATTACTAATTTGGTCGAGAAATCATCTGGACCCTCCATTTCGCTTCCCTTCCTCCGATACGTACACCTCGCATTGGATCGAAGTTTTCCCCACCCTGAAACCCGGCACCACCGTAAACGCAACGGTGCAGCCTGCCGGGGAAGCCGTCGGAAAATTCGCCGGAGAGGCGGTGACGCTCTCCATGTAAACCTCCGAGAATCTGCAGCCTCTCTTCACCTGAAAAATGGTGGCATCCACCTCCGGCCCGTACGAGAAGAAGAGGCAGTGAAGAAGCCAAACCCTCTTCGCCATTTCAGCGAACAATGCGAAGAACTCCGTGTCCGGAAAAGCTCCGCCGGTGCTTATGGCTGCCCTCTGATCAAGGTTTCCGAAGAAGGAAACCTCCATCCTCGGGTGCACCAAGAAGAGATACTTCGTTCTGATGAGCTTTTCAAGCTCCGTTCCTCCTCCGGCTTCAACCAGCTTTCCTGAACTCAGTTCGAGGAACTCCTGGAAGAATCTCCGGCGATCCAGTGATGACCGCCGGCCATCGAACGAGACGCCAAAATCAGGGTGCCGAAAGTCGGAGAAGATGCACCGGGAGACGAAAGATTGGAAAGCGTGAGCCCAGTGAGCAGACTTACCTCTGACAACAGGTTGAATTACTCCTGCGGCCGTGTCCAAATCCCAACCAGCCGAATCCATCTCGCGCATCATTTGCTCGACGAAATTCCTGATTGATTTCACGGCCGAGCATAGCACGGCAAAGAAGTGCTTAGGATCAGGCAAGGACTGGTGAAGGTTGTCGATAGAGAGAGTACGGCCGGGACGGAGCTTGGATTCAAGGGAGCGATTGAAGCGCGTTGAATCCTGGAGCCGGGTTTGGAGTAGTTTGATCTCGACGTCTCTGCTATAGAGACTGGACTCCAGCTTTCTGATGGTGATTTCGTAGGTTTTGAGTAGGTTTCGCTGCTCCTGTAGCTGCGGCACCAGAATTTGGGAGTCCGCCGGCGATGACAGGGTTTCTAATTGTTTAGGGCTTTTGAGATAAGATTGCTTTAGCATAGACAGATGCTTGAGCTCCGATACAACAGCCTGGTCTGAAGCCTGAATGGTGTCTGGATCGTAGGGCGATTCCGCGACCTGGAGCTGAGCATAGGCAGCTTTAATGGCGGAAACGCTCGCGAATATATTGGCGAGAAGAGAATCTACCTCTAACTCATTTCTGTTGTTGCCGCTGCTGCTACTGCTGGCTGATTCATCCAGCTTAGGCTTCTCCTTAGGATTACAATCGGTGGAAATACGGGAATCTATGAACCCCGATAGATTGGACTTCAGCTTCTGGTTATAGCTTTCTTCATCGAACACACCGGAGAAGGTGGCAGTCCGGCGGTGGCGGAAGATCTTGGTGACCGTCCTGGTGAGGGAGCCAAGCCTAGTGGCCGGCGAGGGCTTCGTGGTTTCCATGGCTGCTTCGCTTCTGTTGCAGGGAAGGCCATAAAAATATGGGATTACGGAGGCGAAAGAAGGATTCCCAACGTTCCCGGCTTTAACTTAAATAATTATTATAGAATTAAAGTAAAAAATTAAAAAAAAAAGTTAAAATATTCCATTCAGGCATAAAAATAAAGCATTGTAATATATATTTGAGTACATAAGATGTACGCAGGGGAGTTATATCCGAGTTATACTCTCTGTAACCTCCGTGTAATTCCCTTGTAACTTTCGTGTAACTTATTTGTACCCATGA